TTATTCACGTAATCGAAATATCTAGTGGGCAGGCGGCTAACAGCCCAGAACCGGTCCTTGACAGAGTTGTAATCTTATATGTGTGCAGCTTTCACCCAAGGTCGTAGGCTTCCACCGGCTACACCGGGTGAGGTTGGTGTTCTGTAAAGCGCATGCGCAAATCTTGCTTTTCGTAATCTGAAAATACAGGAGATTACACTCCGTCACTAATATTCTAATATACAATAGCAATTTTTTGTTTTGTTTTTTTCCACGTGTAGTATAGAAAATTATAATAAGATACATAATGCGGTTATAATAAAATATTGTGCGATTATTTTCATATAATTAAAATTAATATTTATTTATTTTTTAGAGAATATGAGGGAAGCGGCGCTTCCAACGCTTCTAATGACGGCACACCACTGATGGTTAGTAGATATATTATATCTAAATAAATAGATGTTATATGTTTTTATCAAAGCAAGAATTGGCATTTAGAGGGCATATGGAATATATTGGATCTAATAACAGAGGTAATTCAAAGCAAGAATTGGCATTTAGAGGGCATATGGAATATATTGGATCTAATAACAGAGGTAATTATATTGAACTTGTTTATTTATTAAGTACATCAGATAAATAATCTATTAAAAATACATTTAAGAATTAACTGATTGCCCCTGGAAGTCGGCTTCTTATAGAAACACAGCTTCCCTATCATCAAATGTCACGGCACGCCACTGCATATAAGTAGGAAATGTTCTACCCTGTGTATTTCAAAGAGAGACATTATGATTGATGATGTATAAAGGCTGGCTAGAATGGATACAATATATGTCATTTAAGTGGGCTCAGTTGAGCATCAACTTTTATTCTTTATATACAGTAGAACCTCGATTATCCGGACTAATTGGGGATGAAGGTAGTCCGGATAAGAAAAAATCCAGATAATCGAAACAAATACTTTAATTTGTCTTTTAATGATACTACAACACGTTTTCTTTTCGATGACATATCGGTAATATTAAAAGTAAATACTGTATTTAAAGCATGATCAAATTTTCAAGAAACAAATGTTCGTATTGAATTTGTACTACTACTAACCAACGCTAACAGACTACCTATTGTTTAAAAGGCCCTCTGGTGGTGCAAGAAGACGGATTTTATAAAACAAAAAGCAGTTAAAACTGCATTTTTATGAATAAAAATTTGACAAACTATTTATCGTTTTATGACGAGTAAAATTTTTTCTTTGCGTTCACGGCTTTTAAGTAATGCATAAACCTTCGAGGCGCGAGGCCCTTTGGACCGCGAGGCATAGGCGGTAGCCAACGTCGTCCATGCCTTACGCCGCCCTTGGTCATCGAAATGATGTAATTTGAATATAAATTATTTATAAATACATATGTCAAGTTATATTTTTATTACTACGTAAAATATATTTAAGAGTTTACGACCACTGTGCTGGGTGAGACGTTGTTGAAACAAAAAAAGTTATGCATTCCATCATGTACATAAACGGTGTCGTAATTCGCCAAGTGCAAATCAGCAAATTCGTAAAATTTTTTTTTATTTTGAACAATCCAGATAATCGAAAATCTGGATAATGGAGGTTCTACTGTACATTGTACATTGACTACCTATTTTCAACAATGATTTATATAACAAAAAGTACAGTTATCAATGACAATATACAGATATGCCATCACCACCATCACAAATAGTACTGCCACTACTTGAACCACTTTTGGACAAGGAATATTGACTCATCGCCAACAACTATTATATGCCACCAACCTTGCTGTTTTTCTAATGCAACATAAGGCAGACCCATCTGAAAAACTATGCAAATGAATAGGAAAGAAATATCACTGATTACTCAAACAAACTAAAAAAGGGAAAAATGGTAACTGTAAAAAAAAAAAAAACTAACTGTAATGAAATGGCATAATAAGAGAAATGTTTGTTTATTACAGGGGTCGCCAAACTTTTTTTAACCATCGACCCCCAACCACTTTCCAAAGCCTCACATTGATCCCCACCGTAAAGTTTTATTACAAGTGTATGTGTATGAGCAAAAAGAAAAAAAAAAAAAAAAAGTTGTGGTCTCTGTATAAGAAAAAAAAAAGTTGCGAATCCTTAGCCACATTGACCCCTAAATCGCCCCCCTGCTTTATTATCTATAATACACAACAAGGAGAAAATACCTGTAAAGAAAATAGATAAGGATGGAAATGTCATAGTAAAACCAAAACTTGTTATAGACTATAACAACAGAATTGGAGGTGTTGATTATCTAGAACACCATCTCCATGACTACTCTCATGAAAAAAATATTATATGAAATTATTTTTCCATTTACTGGATATTTGCATATGGAATGCTTATTGTTGTATAGAAAAAAAAGGTGGCAAGAAAGATCATTTAGAATTTCAAAAAAGTCTCATTGACATATTGATACAAACTTATCATTAAAAAGACAATCAAAAGTATTATAAGCATTAAAAGCATATTTGGTTAATAACCATGAAAAGCCTCATTTACAACATTGTTTGCTGATACCTTTAGAACACATTTCAGTAGTTGGATCAATAAAGCATTTAAAACATTTAAATGCTTAAAGTAATTAAAGCAATAAAGCATTTAAAACATTCAACAGCATATTTATAGGTCAAATGGTATTCTAAAACTTTTCTATATTGAACCCAGTATAAAACTCAAACAAATGTGGTGCTGCTTAGTAACAATGTTTAACACTTTCCATCATTATATTATTTTGTGGTGAAAAACCCATCTACATTTGATAGGCTTTGTGTCTTTGGGCAAATCCTTTTGCATAGCTTGGATTTGATTGAGAGCTTCATTAACTGTGAGTATCTGTATCAATGTTCTAACTCATTATGATTGTTAAGCAGTTTGATTCTGTCTAACATATCTGCCAAGGTCATTTTGATTTTCTGGTCATTAGTTTCTTAGGACATCCTAGGTGTCTTAGAGTCTGTGAGGAATTTACACTTATCTCAGTATTTTGATGGAAAGTTTCATCAGAATTATGAACCATTTCCTCCTCAACATCTGTATATGTTGATATGTAACATATCATCATTTATTGGTTCCTCTATAGCATTCTGTTGTACAATGCCATCATTTCTCAGATGTATTCAATAGGAATTGTCAAAACTTTTAAACTTCTATATTATAAAAATTATATATATAAAATAAAGTAATAGTTAAATCTTGTAACAATAAATTGTTTAATTACTGACTTTCCTAATTAAATTTACATAATGCAATTTTGGGAATAATCGGGATAGTGTACACTCTAAAAAATTGCAAGAATGAAAATAAACCTTCATATAATCTGCCCTATCATATTGAACATATCCAGGGCATCTGTTCAAAGCAGGATAGTATGGTGATATGGAGACAAGTATGCAGTAGATATCAAGCATAAAACGTTGCTTGTTTTTATTTCTTATCTGTTAACAAATCATTGTAGACATACATAAATAACCAAATCCAAATATTATATAATAATCACATTTATTTCTGAATTATTCAGAATATAATTGGCTGGCTATTAATAAGTAATACAAAATAATTTTTTTACAAAGATAATATAAAATAGTGACCTAATAAGTTATTGACTAATAATTACAATAATTTTTAAATTAATTTTATTTAATAATTATCAAATTTAATTCAAAATAATAATTAACAAAATCAAAACTAAAGGATAAGTTAAAATTTTGTGTTATTTTTTAAACTCTAATATAGCAATTCATTTTATATTAATTAAACTAATATTTGTATAAAATTTATATTTCAATTTTAGTATATATTAGCAAAGATACAACAGCTTAATACAGTGATGTACATACACAAGTGTGTGCTTGTGTATTGTTTTTGCTAACATGTTTGAAGATACCTCATGAATGGTAAGGTACTTAGCTTAACAGGAAAATGGTTACTGAAAAATCCCTGCGAAATACTAAGAAATTCACACCTGTACTCACTGACCACTCCTGTAATTTGATTGTGTTTATGAATTGTTTCAATTATGTAAATTAAGTGTTAAAAAAATATGATTTATCATTTTTTATAAAATTTTTTTGTCAATGCTTTTAATATTTTTTTGCAAACATATGAATAGATAATTATGGTCCAGTGGGTCAGTTACCTGCCAGCAATTAACTGTATAGTGTAAATCAATTTTAACTCATGATTGGAATTTAAAAATTGGCATCTAACTTGCACCATTGCACAACCCACACCCCTTTCAAGCACATAATTTGTGGGTTATTCTCCAAAATTACAATTATTATATGAAATGTTGAATTCATAAAAAGTATGTTATAATTACACATTGGTAACAATTTCAACACATCATAGAACTCAAAAGTATATTTATATATACTGTATATATTTATCTTTATTTGCATGTTTCTATACAGTACATATTTATCTTTATTTGCATGTTTCTATACAGTACATATTTATCTTTATTTGCATGTTTCTATACAGTATATATTTATCTTTATTTGCATGTTTCTATACAATATATTTATATACTTAAATATACTCACTTGACTCAAAAGCTTCTGTTGTCTTTCATTATCTTCTCTCAATTTTTTAATTTCATGCCTCAATTCTTGCTCAATACTGTGACCTTTAACTTTTTCTGCTTGTAATTCATTTTCCAGTTGTCTAATGTAAAACAGAAAATTAAAAATTAAGATATTGACTGATTATTATCTAAACTATTTAATGAAAATTATTAAACAAATATTCCAGAAATATAACCTGATAAGTTTCTTTTGAGTTTCAAATGCCATCAATAATTCTCCATCTTCATTAATGAGTTCAACATTGTCATTGTATGCATTTCGTGTAACAGTTTTAATATCTAAACTTTGATTAGCAAGTATAGTGCGTAGTTGTAAACATTCTTCTCGACGTCTTTCTAATTCTTCTTGAAGAGATTCAAACTGATCTACAATATAAGATTTTTGTCAATAATAAACAAACTCCAAGAATTACAGGAAAACTTTATTAAATTAATTGCAAATGTTTCAATGTTAAACAATAAATTCATTTTAACACGTTAATCGCCACGATAATATCAGAAAAATTTTTCACATGGGCCATGGTAACTTTATTAGATAATTTAGTTAAAAATGTATCAAGGAAACTTAATGTATCACAGAAAAAATTTTTTTTTGCCAAAATTCCCGGAAAAACACTATTTTTTATGTCACACATATATGACTGACATGGCCCTATATTAAAACTTTTTTTCTCGACAAGCTGTGTCAGTCTTATATGTCTGACGCATCCAAACAAGATACAACAAGTGTTAACCTGTTGTTTTGAACACAGCGTTGAACGCATTGTGTAGGAATCAGTGGTACGTGTAGCATTTACCGAATAACACCTTGTTACTGTGACTATTTCTTTATAAAGAACATAAAATAAATTAATATAAATATAAATAATATTTATAATAATTTGTAAATATCTACAAATAATGGCAAAACGAAAGATTCTAAGTGAAAGTGAATTGAAAGAGATTGCTGATAATAAATGAATGTAATTAATTATATCAAAATAAAAATTATTAAAATGTATTTTTTCAACTGAAACAATATACCATTATATAACTATGTTTATTTTATTTTATTGTTTGTAGTAAGCCAAGAAATTTTCAAGTTTTGTTCCTGATAGGCCAAGCTTTCGAAACATAATGCAAATGTATCGTTTGCGTCGGACATCTGTGATTGACGTGGCCTTCTACCAAATCGCGTACGTCAGACATATATGTCTGACATGGCTCATGTAGAACTTCTTAGCGTCAGACACATATGACTGACATGGCGATTAACGTGTTAAGTTCAAAGTTATACTTTGATTTTTAACCCAACATGAGCACCAACTCTAAGGGACCAGAATCCATTCAGCTCCCTAATAATATTTTAAGTGATGGGGACATTGTTCTTCTAATAAATAATTTAAATGATGCTAACAAGTTCTTGCTCCATAGAATTGGCACTTGTGCAACCAGGGGCAGATCTACAAAGGGACTAATAGGGCTTAAGCCCTGGGACCCCAAAAATTAAATTATTATGATAAATTTTTAATACAGTAATATCCCACTTAATGTGGGGATGCATTCCTAGACAACAAAGTGCTAAACGAAACAACATTAAACGAAGTCATTTTAACATAGAGTAAATAGGGTAGGAAACACGCGACTAAAAATAAAAAAATTTCACTTTAATTTTAAATTATTTTTATATTAATTTGTATAATAATATATGTTAAATAACACAAACATATGAACACAGAAATGTATAATAATACATAAATTAGTTCATTTTTCTATATTAATAGTTCATTTTTTGTGATGAAGGTCCTGGTTTTCTGAAATTCTTGTTCTTTTGCAATAAAGTCATGAAGTTCCAGTTGTCGCTTTTTTCTTTCCTTAAGCAAATGTCTGTAGCAGAAGATTGCATCCAAAATGCCTCGCTTTGTTTTTGCACTCTTTTCAAAATCTGGATCATTCTCTACAATTTGATCAACGATTTCGGTTATCGTTACCAAACTTTTACTAAGGAAATATGTAGAGAAATTTTTTGAGTTCTTTGTTTTCGAAATCTCTATTTTCCAGTTCCACATGAATTCCTTGTTCTGCAGTTCTTGAAGGTTGTTGTTTATAAGGCTCTCATCAGAAACCTTTAGAATCCTGTTCGCCTACATCTCCTAGTCCTGCTGTATTGATTAGGTTGAGTTTGATCAAACGAACAGTACAACAATAGGCTCTTCTCATTGAGAATTCTTGGATACCTTCAGCCATAACTTATTCCACATTTCGTTCATGCATTTATCAGTTAATTCTTGTCAAGTGAAGCTGATATTGCCTATGGCATCCATAATGTTATATTTTTTCCAAAATTACACTAAACAAACATAGATTTAAAGAAAGTACATTTTTTTGCCATATTTTTCTGATTAATTCATGTTCATAAATAATCATATTATGTATGAATCAATAAAATGTCACGATAATTTAAATCGGTGTAAATTTTTTGCTTTTTTATTAGGCTTCAAGCAGAGAAAGTTATATCGAATCAGCATTAAGCAGGGCCTTACTGTACTTTTTCATTAACAACAAGCACTTATCATATACTAAAAAGTAGTTAATAGGTTAGGTTTGATAAAAATGGTAATAAAGGGGCTTCATTAAACTTCAATAATCTCTAGGCCCAAAAAACCTAGATCCACCCCTTCATGCACCTTTATATTTTCTAAATATTTTTTTACCAGGAATCAGTTAAAAAAAACCTAAATGCACTTTTCATATTCATTTATTTACTCACTAAAATAAAATAAACTATAAACTAACTTAGTGACAAAATTAAAAATATAATTCTTGTCATCTCTCATTATTCTGAAATTCTCACTATGTATGTTCACTATCATTTTGCATAAAGAATAAATATAAGCAAAGAATAAAGCAAAGAATTATTATTGTTTTTCTCATTGAATATTTAATTTTCGTTCTTAAAGATAAGGAAATGACCAAGAAAACAGAATCAGAAGTCACTTGATATTTTTGCATAATTTTAGTAATAAAAATATCTATTTACCTTAAATTATGTAGTTTCATCTAAATTTTATATTTCATGAAAAAAATTCTACTTAAATTAATGCTGGTCCATAGATCAAAGTTTAGAAATGCTACTTTAAACAATTAATACTATAAATTATTTTATAGTGCTGATTGTTTAAATATCTGGTAAAGAAAGATGCTTCTTATTGTTTTCAGACTAAATAGCTCATCTTCAGGGATTTCTTAAACTTAACCATACAAAATTATAAATATGATGATAACTATTCATTTATAATTACTTTCTATATAAATTTGTTCACAACTGTTTTAATATTCTTATATATAATGTTGATTAATCAAACAATATTTTAAAAGATGTGTTCAAAAAGTTTCAGACAGATGTTAACAAAAAAGGTAGGATATAAAGAAATTTTTTAAATAATCATCCTGAGCTTCAATATATTTTCTCCAATAATTCGTTTAATTTAGAAAGCATTTAGAAGCATTAGCTTCTTTCAGCAATCATTTAATTTTCTTTGATTCATTTTATACAAATTCAATTATTATTCTAATTTTCAATCTCATCCTATTTGATGGTAACTCTGTTTTTAATCTAAAGCATAGGTGGAAAGTAACTAGGCACTAAGGAATTGCTATAATTTTAATAACAACAAGGCAATCATAATAAAGTTTGTGTGCACATGTACATCAACCAATAGAATTTTATACTTTCTGCATCAAAGATGTGGACAGTGACCAAGAGAGACTGACTGCAGGTGCATTGGAAAAAAAAAAAAAAAAAGATAAACTATTTGTCTGTTCAGGAGGGAGTGCAAATGTTGCATGCTATGAGGTGTGGAAATCAGTGGTTGNATTTTGATTTTCTGGTCATTAGTTTCTTAGGACATCCTAGGTGTCTTAGAGTCTGTGAGGAATTTACACTTATCTCAGTATTTTGATGGAAAGTTTCATCAGAATTATGAACCATTTCCTCCTCAACATCTGTATATGTTGATATGTAACATATCATCATTTATTGGTTCCTCTATAGCATTCTGTTGTACAATGCCATCATTTCTCAGATGTATTCAATAGGAATTGTCAAAACTTTTAAACTTCTATATTATAAAAATTATATATATAAAATAAAGTAATAGTTAAATCTTGTAACAATAAATTGTTTAATTACTGACTTTCCTAATTAAATTTACATAATGCAATTTTGGGAATAATCGGGATAGTGTACACTCTAAAAAATTGCAAGAATGAAAATAAACCTTCATATAATCTGCCCTATCATATTGAACATATCCAGGGCATCTGTTCAAAGCAGGATAGTATGGTGATATGGAGACAAGTATGCAGTAGATATCAAGCATAAAACGTTGCTTGTTTTTATTTCTTATCTGTTAACAAATCATTGTAGACATACATAAATAACCAAATCCAAATATTATATAATAATCACATTTATTTCTGAATTATTCAGAATATAATTGGCTGGCTATTAATAAGTAATACAAAATAATTTTTTTACAAAGATAATATAAAATAGTGACCTAATAAGTTATTGACTAATAATTACAATAATTTTTAAAATATTTTTCTAATAATTCAAAAATCTGCATTTGAAATCAAAAATGTTAAATCATCTTGTTAATAAATTTTTATTTTGTAGTTTATAATTTATCCATAAAATATGTAAACAATAATCTGGATTTTCAAAACACATTAATTTAGTCATATAAATCTATATATGACTTTACCAATTCTAAATAAAATATTAAAAAGTGAATGAACAATCAAGATAGAGCCATAGCTATGGGGTGGCTATGAGGTAGTTAAGCCCCCTCAGCTTAGTAGTAGGCAGTGCCCATATTCGATATATATAATACAGTATATGCTTTAGAACTTCTATTCTAACTCTATTTATTAAGTAAGAGTTTTTAACTTTTATTCTATAAGTGATTAGTGGGCTAGGCTATGCAATTTTATTTTGAAAATTAGTGAGAAACTGAGACTACCTAATTAGTTAAATAGTTAATTAAATTAATGAGTATCAGTATGTTGAATATATCACTATTGCAAGTTGTGTTCACAGATAGTGAGTAGGATACCTTACAAGTAACTTTAAAAATCATACACGATTACTTTGATCCATTTCAAAGTCATACTGAACCAAAAAGTGACAGGCTTGATAAAAGACACCACATCATGGCCGTTTATTTGTTAGAAAAAATAATACAAAGGTTATATGATGCAAAGCGTTGCTACAAAATACAAATACAAAAGTTTATATAACACAAATCATTGCTACACACATAGGTAATGACAGGTGAGAAATTTAACACAGTATCTTAGATATATGATGATATACATGTATGTAATTCATGATTGTGATAATAACTAACTACTAGACTACTACTAATTACTTACTCACTACTTTACTAACACTAATAATTAAATTACTTATAAATAACTACAGACTGATATGTAGAGCCTATATAAGAAAACTGGTAAGACTGATAGCCACTTAGCCACTGATTATCCATCCTTACATTATTATAATATAATATATTAATATAAATTAATT